ATCCAAAAACAGACGTTCCTTTTTTTCTGTCCTAATTACTTTAAGCCATCACTTCCGGTTTCGTGCATAAGCGGACACAAACAGGCACATACGCATACAAAGACAGACACCCTCACAGGCATCGAAATCGACGTATGACCTTAACTAAACAAATCCCTTTATACTTGATCAGAGGCCAGATGTAGAGTATATATGCGAAGAAAAGTTGGGTTTCGAGGAATCTCTTGTTTCATAATTACTTCCATTTCGAGTGAAAGTGTTGGATGAAGAGAGTCGAATGTCGGTTCCACCAGAAGACGACGGCGGATTCCTCTTGACCAGCTGTCGATTGGCTTTACTGGAAGATTCACGGTGACGCTATTTCCGAGATAATCTCCTTCGATTCAGGTGAAAAGGTGCTAAGCTTTCGTCCATCATATGGCGAAAATCATCAGAGCAAGGCGGTTCCACCAGAAGACGACGGCGGATTCCTCTTGACCAGCTGTCGATTGGCTTTACTGGAAGATTCATGTGGGTGAAGAGATTCGAAGTTCGATTCCACCAGAAGACGACGGCGGATTCCTCTTGACCAGCTGTCGATTGGCTTTACTGGAAGATTCATGCATTTCCGAGGTAATCTTCTTCGATTCCGGTGAAAAGGTGCTAAGCTTTCGTCCGTCATATGACGAACATCATAAGGTAATCTTCTTCGATTCCGGTAAAAAGAGTATATATACTACTTTTTAGGCATTTTCCGATGAGCTTTCTCGACTCGTTAGCTTGAATTTTATTGTGACGATGATAACTTGCTTTGATGATGTTCGTCATAATATGGACGAATCGAAGAAGATTACCTCGGAAACAGCTGACCTTCGAAGAGCAGCAGTATTTCTTTCCAAACCCGGCTATGAATATGCACAAAAGTATGCATGAATGTGTATTTAGGCACAAGACAAAGCGAACCGTGACAGTTAGAGTAACTGGAGAAATCGACTTAGTGAATAGCCTCCAAGAGTACCATTCAAAGATCAATTGATGATTTTTACATACTCGTTAATTATATAGTAGTTTAAACGAGTGCATTTAATCGAAACCAGCTGAAATAGAAAATGGGAACTATAAGAGGCCCGGCTGGCTATGTCAGTGACATCTGCCCTGTGACGTACTGGTACCAAGTCAGTATGGCATAGCGGCAATAGTGCCGTTTGAAGCGCACTACTCAGTTTCGAATCTTGTCTGGGTGCTGATGAGACCCGGGCGAGTTCGGAACTGTAGCATACGTTGAATGAGAAAGCGGAGGTCTCCTAAACATCATATTGTAGGATTCTTAAATATCATTTTTTCCATCACCTGAAGTACTCTTAACTGACTCTAGTTCTAATAAGAAGTAAGAAAAACACGATGAGGTAAGGGGGGAGAAAAGAATTTTGATTAGTTTTCACTGAAGAGGCACATCAAAGATCGACCTCTTAAGTCAAGGTCGGAGCTCAAATTCATTATTTTGCGAGTAGTATGTAATTTTAGTTTTTATACAAGTTGGAGAGCTAGGGAGCTCAAATTCAACATGGGGAGACAAAGAGGTTGTGCCATTTTGGGTGTCTAGGTCCATTGCAAAGCGGCTCCCACTCACCTGAAGCCTGGAGATGCAAGCCTTAGCATTGGAGATATGAAACAACACTTCCAGAGGACTAGTAATCCTCCGCTCATCACGTGGTTCTGTGTTTCCTGATCTCCTCTCCTTGCGGGGTTTACTCGTAAACTGAGATCCCGCTTCAAGATCAGGTTTAGCTGAATTTGCCGATTTGGCGGGCTCTTGTCTGCCGGATAGTCCGCTACTCTCATTCCCATTTGCCACTTCGGACGGAAAATGCCGTCTTCTTTTGGCCTTACTTTGTTTCGTCTGAGGCCTCTGCTTTTGAGCAAGACCAAACTGGTCCTTCCTGTGTTTTGTAGAATCATCTATTGCATCCTCCTTTACAACTGACCCCTCAACGCAATCTGTCACCGGGGCTGGAGGTCGGAGTTGAGGTTGATGGCTCTCTTTGAATTTCGCATGTTTCAGAGTTGAATTCATCTCCGACTCCCACGTTCCTGTGGTGGAACCAGTCGACAGCTGAGTGGGCAGGATTGGCGGAGCTTGACGCCACCATGCCGGAAGTTCGTCAAGCAAGAAGGACGTCATATCGGCAATACTGGACTCAAATCGGTCCCACCGAGCCGATTGGTCTTTCAGGCGAGTCTTGAGACAAAAAATAATGGGCGAAAGCAAATGTTCCGTTAATAAGTAGGGTTTAGATACTACCAGTAAATCAGTTGTATAAAAGGTGATGATTCGTTTAAGGTGACAATTATACGAGTAGGACTGACGTTTCTATTGAATTTCACACATTTCCAAAAGTTGGTCTCATCAACAGCCTCGCCTCGACCCGTTAACCACTGCGTAACTGGCAGTCTCGACAGCCTACTTATAAACGAAAAATAAGTAATATGGCCGAATATTATAAAAAACTTATCTTTGATTCCTCGGCAATCCAACAGTACTCGTCTCAGTGTGACATGGTTTTTACCGTGTTGAGATCATAAGCTGCAGTGTCATGGTTCGACCCCTGTTGGAGACATTGATAG